CCGGAGAGCAGCGAGAGCGTTTCATTCATGAAAAAAGCCCTAGCTATAATGTTCCCTGCAGTTTTTTGGAAATTAGTACTGCTACTTTAATGGCCGATGCGCGTTTAAAATAATTATAAAACGACATCTCTAGATGACACCCGTTTAAGATAGGTGCCCTCTGAGTTTGTAAATTTTTTTGTTGGACAATAATTTTAGGGCACGCACAAATGCGTGTTCTCTATCCTTCAAATTTTGGAAACTGACATTATTTTTAGGACACGCAAAAAATATGTATCGTAAATCAGTGTGTGTCATTGTTCGCATGTCATTAAAGGGTTGTTTTCTAGTAGTGTGTATATTATTCAAAACGTTCATTCTATTAGAATATGTATTCTATCAGAATATGCATTGCGTCAGAATATGTTGTTCTTCAAGATAATCTTTTGTTATTTCTCTCTCTCTCTCTCTCTCTCCATATATAGATATATATATATATATATATATATATATATATATATATATAATATATATTAAATTAAAAGAATTAACTATCTCCTAAAATTCAGATTTTTTTAAATCAAGTTAAATTGACTAAAATATTCTTAAAAATATATTAGTGTGATTATATTATGCATGCACTCCCATTGTAATATCATACAACTTAAATCACATCATTTCATTATTTCATCCGTTGGTTCAAAATCATTCATACGTCCACACAATACTTGTTATATATATATATATATATATATATATATATATATATATATATATATATATATATATATATATATATATATATATATATATATATAGCTTAGGTTATTGTATTCTAGTTATCTATTGTGTGGAGATAGGGTTGATTGTGAACAAATCATTTTATTTATTTTAAGAAAGTGATTAATACATATTATTGAATTAAAGATAATTAAAAACTATCATCTAATTTCATTGTAAGGGTATTTTAGTCAATTAACATAAATTTAAAAAAATTGCAGATTTTATGGAATAATTCTTTTTATTAACTTTAACAATATGGTTTTTCTTGATAATAATTATATTAATTCGAACATTCTAAAAGAATGTGTTCATTATTATTTTGAAAAAAACATTCTATTCTGAAAGAATACTATAAACATATATTATCAAAATTAATAAATTTTAATGAATACAAATTTCATATGAAACAAATTTTAATATTTTATAATCATTAATTATATTCATTCTTAAAGAATACGACTAATAATGGTTTACAATTACATTTATTTATAAATGAATAAAATTGAGAATGGTTAAAAATCAAATTAAAACATTGAAATCTAAGTAAAACACTAATACATTTTGAGAGAATATTGTTGCTAATCCATTCTGAAAGAATATACTGCTAATCCATTAGAAGAAACGTCGGTTCTTGGCACTATTCAACAAACTTCATCGACTTCACAACCAACGGGGAAACAAATTTTAGAACACGAAATATAGAACATGACGAATTGTTAGTGCCAAAGGAAACATGATTTTTCTATTTATCCCACTCGATATTATTGTTAATAAAATGTATCTCAAATTTAAAAAGTACTCATTTTGTTTTCCATAATTTCACAGTAAATCCTAAATTTCTCATTACTTCTAGAAGATGGTTGAAAGTCCAAATAAGATGAAAAAGATGTCTTACCTTTGATAGCCTTAATTGTGCGATTGTTTTTTTTATGAAACAAGAACAACTTTTTAAATTTGTTAGAATCCATATACTTCTGGTCGTCATCTAATTTCCCTATCGCCGCTTCCGTCCTTCTGTCGTGAACAGTACCGATAATATCCCCATCGTTGTTGTCCTTTTTTCCATCTAGTTCGGATCTCGCAAAACTTTCATTGGAACGGGAAAAATCGAGAGGTAGTAGAAGAATGCACCGGTGAATATGGATGATCGATGAAGAGGATAAGAGAGAGCCGCCTAGATGAAATCAATGAATTTGGTGGATCAAGCGTATTTTGTACGTGTGTGAGGGATAAAACCTAAGTCAAGTCAATGATTACCATAATTATAGGAGATTATTTATGGTAGTTATTTATCAAATTACTTAAATACCCTTATGTATTTATTTAATTATTTAAATTTCTTTAGATTTTGATTCGTCCACAATCAATCCTACATCCACACAATATTTAGTTAGAATACTTGAACCTACCTCTCTCTCTCTGTCTCTCTCTCTCTCTCTCTATATATATATAATATATATATATATATATATATATATATATATATATATGAGAGAGAGAGAGAGAGAAAGAGAAAGAAAGCACTGGTGCTAGAGCTTACAAGTCGATGAAATGTTTCTACATATAAAGCCAATTTCTTTTCATTCTCTCGACAATGTGGGTGATTCAAATAATCATTCAACTCCTCAAAACATTCATTAATCCATCATAATATCTAGTAGTTAATTTCACATTCATTCAAACTAATGCATAAGGCATTTAATGAGACAACAAAAATGATTAATTGGTGCAGGTATGAAATAGAAACAACAAATATCACATAACAAACATCCCCATTTAATGATGCGGGTATAAAACCGCACCAAAAAACGATGAAAATTGCACCAAAACATTTCTTAGAACCACACCAAAAAAATGATTATAACTGCACCAATTAACAACTTCATCTTCAGTGTCTTCCGTATCTGTAACATCATTAACTTCATCTTCACTGTCTCGCTCCATACCCATGATAAGAACGAATGCAGATAACATAACTCACTAGTAGCAAAAAGGTTTCTATATGATATTGAAGGATATTTTCCGATCTTAAAAAAACATACTTATGCTAAAATAATTGTAGAAGACTCCTTGGTAGCAAAAACTCTCATGCAATTCCCCTTCAATATCTAAATCTTGCAAAAAAACCCATGATAGCGTGTATGGGTATCAATTAAAATGAACCTTTTAGTTTTCTTGGTTGTCTTTTTTTCGAAGAAATAGATAGAAAACTAGAACTGAAGTTTGCTTCGAGTTTATATGGATTGAATGGAGTTTAATTAGAAATAAGCATGGTTCTTGATACCGATGTGAAGCGGTTCTTTGAAGGATAAGAAGACATTGAAGTAGTCACAAGAGAAGGTGTTTTTGGAGGAGAAGTAACTAAAGAGGTTGCTAGCAAGACGAGGCGAGGTGATTGAGATCGTCGATCGTTGTAGAGGCTAGCGAGTTTCGTTCTTGAAAAAGCCCTAGTTGGAATGGTCCTTGTGATTTTCTGGAATTTAGTTCAATGGTCAGGGCACGCGTTTGAAATAATTATAAAAGCGACATCTCTACACGACACCCATTTAAGATAGGTGCCCTCCGTGTTTTTTTGTTTGACACTAATTTTAGGGCACGCACAAATGCATGTCGTCTATCCTTCATATTTTGGAAAACTGACATTATTTTTAGGATACGCAAAAAATGTGTATCATAAATCAGTGCGTGTCATTATTCGCATGTCATTAAATGGTTGTTTTTTAGTAGTGAAATAACACATTGAGACACAGACACACACAACTAGATTTCGAACATTATCAAGAGAGACCAATTTAGTTTGCTTCAATGTATGTGGGGTATCCAATCCTCTTTATGGCTTTTTACATGTGAAAGGAAATGAACCACCATGTAAATAAGTTAAACCACATTTCTAGAAATCAAAGAGGCTTAAAAAAATCAAGAGTTCATTAAGAACATGATAACATTACCCATCTACAACTCTTAGACAAGTTGTTTCCTATGCCAAGAGGGATAATTGTTGTTTGTGGAACCAGATCGTGACCCTGTTTGTGAAGCTCACCGAGGCACCTATGGACCCAACCAACGGTCCCATCACCTCCTAAAACCTATCAAATTAAAGATAATACACATAATTATTAAAACTAGTCAAACTCCCGTGCGTTGCGCATGAAGAAAATTATATTGTCAAAATTACATATATATATATATATATATATATATATATATATATATATATATATAGGCTTAGGTTATTCTATTCAAAGTAATTATTGTGTTATTATATACATAAATGTGGGCCAATCAAATTTACTTATTTTAAGAAAGTGATAAATATATATTATTGAATTAAATATAATTGAAAAATATCATCTTAATTAATTACAATGGTAATTTAGTCAATTAATATAGATTTAATAAAGGAAAATTGAATTTTTTTAAGGGATCATAGATTCTATTCATTTTAAAAATCCGATTTTACAAATTATAATTCTTTTAATTTCGGTCATTCTGACAAAATATAATTCTTTTAAAAATCCGATTTCTTGATCATGACTTTAAAAACTTCTTGTAGAATAACAAATTCTTGAACAATCAATTGAAGAATAAAAGCAAAAAATCATTTCTTATAGAATACGGGTAACAATTGTTAAGAATTACATTTGTTGTTAAAGAATAAAACTAAAAAAACTTTCAAAACGGGAAAGAAAACATCAAAATCTAACAACGACACTAATACATTCTAAAAGAATAATGTTGCTTAGAATCACTTTCAAGTTTGTGGTCCGTTCTTCAAGAATCAACTTCTGTGTAAACAAAACCAAATTTTAGTTTAGATTCCAATAATGCATTAGCAAATGAAAAATAAAAAACTAAATTCCTTTGGAAAAATATGTGGACTTGTGAATTGCACCAAAACCAATAAACAAGAATCGTAGAACATGCATAAATCAGTGAGAAAATATCCACTCCATTCCAACAGAATTAGAATTCATGATTCCATTCCAATAGAATTGGAATTCGTGATTCCATTCCAATAGAATTGGAATAAACATTCAACCGTACAAAAGCCAATCAAGATACTACTGTAATCTTGCTCTCATCAGCCTGTAGCATTTCATAATTCATACAGAAAGCATGTTACATCAAACTCATCTAACCCAAGTACACGACCCACTACATCATTAATTTAATTCCAATCCATACACTAAATCAGTCGACTTATAAGCAACCAAGTCAACTGTGAAACATGATAATAATCACAAGAAGCTAGTACCAAGAGCCAGGTCATTTAAATTTGAAATGATCTGAGAACGTGTTGTCCCAATCAGGTTTGCAATCTCAAGCTGAAGTTCAAAAGGCAGCATATCATAACTGCACAAACAAAACATACAAAAATGCATAATATAACATGTCCAACAACTACAAAAATCTTGAAAAAAAAAACAGTTAATTGAACGAAATAGAAAAACATGGTAAAAAAGAAACTTACTGGCAGAGGAGTTCAGCATCAACAATGGTATCAGGGCCAGTGCGATGAGCCTTTCCATTGGAATGGAAAGTGACGAAAAGATCTGGGATTCAAACCAGCAACATGAGGAACATCATCCACTAGTTTTTTCTGCAGACTGAAGCCTCCTAAAAGTCAGCTCATCAAGAGGCGCAACACAACCAATGCTCCCATCCAAGGTCCCAAACAAAAGTGCAAAACGGTTGGTTTTATCGGATGGAGAGGAGTTGGAGGTTGGAAGCATCTGTAAGCGTAGAAATTTGGTGACGTGGGCCCCGACTTGAAACTCTGCCCGAGAAAGAAGCTTCTGGCCTTTCCAGCTCTCGGAGACTTTTGGTGCGTAATAGAATATTTGTACGTTTTTTTGGTTATCCAAGACCATCAGACTTAGGGTGCTTCCATCGATTAGAAACTCTATTGCCAAACAATCCAGGGATCCAAAATCTTTCGCTAGTAGACTTAGTTGAGATCCTTGTTCTTTCCAACTTAGGAAATATATGCTTTTGTGGATATCCCCAATGATTAAAAATCATTAACAGACCGACAAATTACAGTTGATTTTTGCAATTGATTCTGGAGATGGCAATGGTGTTTCTTTTGGTAAAACATAGAGTTATGGTGGGCAATAATCTGGATCTAAAAGACCTCGATTGGGTAAATAGTTTTTCCCCATTCTGAAATCGGTGGTGTTAAAAGGAAGAAGATGATAAATCCGATGAAGGTTTCTCGATGGTTATTGATGGTGTACGAGAGGGAGATGAAAGGGAAAAGGTTGGGGGCGACAATGAATACAAGAGAAGAGGGAAGAGGCGGACGTGAGGATATATACTAGAAATTAGGTTTTAAAACTGATATTCCTAAATTAATGGGATATTAATTGATTTATATATTTACCATAATTAATTAAATGTAAGATTACATATTTACCCTTTTGAAATGATTGACCCACATTTATGCATACAATAACACAATAATTAGTTTAAACAAATGAACCTATATATATATATATATATATATATATATATATATATATATATATATATATATATATATATATATGATAAAAGAGATGTTTATTAGAAGATTTAACATTTAAAAGTTATATTATAATATTTATATTCAAACGTATAATTTTGTCTGTCTCTATTAGTAAGTGGCACACATATAAATTTTCTATATAAGTTTTGATTTAATATTATTTTTAAGTATTTTTTTTAACTCAATTAATTTTAAAAACTACTCATTTGTTTATTTATTCAAAATTTTAACCATATTCATTTAAAATCCCCACAACTTTTCATATTATTGTATTTAATGGATTGGTTAATTAAAATATTTTTACTACATAACTCCTACAACTTTTCAATTTATGATAATTAATTCATTATGCTAATTAATCATATCACTTCTTTTTTATTACATATAAACACTTTTTGTTAAAGTATGTTATGATCTAGTGAAGTATAATCGACACAAAAATATTTCAGATGTTAGAAAATGAGCATAACATATTTTTGTATTGGTGGTGATTATCATAATCTAAAGAAAATACAAGATGTTAATGAAGTTCTATTTTTATTCAAAATTTATTAATGTACCTTGAAAATTATAGGCTGAAATGATGTATACAACAAAAATATACCACAATCTCACGTCAAACAAAATTTAACAAATTAATTAAAAATGTATCATCATTTTCTTTTGGCTCTAAATGTATGATCGTAATGATTTTTGTGAATTTTATAGAAAGTATAAAGGAAAATGAAGTGGAAATATTAAAGAAAAATAAAATATTCCGTATGGATATTAGTAGTGGAAGGTTACACACAAATAAAATACATAATTACATATATAATATATTAAATCACTTGTAGTCATCTTTTACTATGTAATTCCCTCAATGTTTACATTCATTTTCATGGACTCTAGATAACAAAAAAAAAAAAAAAAAAAAAAAACAATTGTAAGTAACCTAACATGAAAATAATGTTCTTATATAGACAAAATATTTTGATTAACTAATGAATTAATTAGAATAAGTTGAAAAGTTTTAGGAGTTTTATAGAAAAAATATTTTAATTAATCAATCTATTAAATATCATAAGATGAAATATTGTGGGGACTCCAAGTAATGGTTTAAAATAGATGCTTTCTTGAACCATTTTGATTTAAATCGTCTCCTTTATAAGATTTATAAAGATTTAAATTGAGATTATGGAAAAATGGTTGAAGAAGAATATATGTACCACATCCTTAATCTTTCACGAGTTTCTTTGGCATAAGTGTCTGCAAGAGATGTAAAGTTTTCTGGCTTGCACAAACTCACGAGGTTTCACATTTTGAAGATCAAAGACCCGTCGCTAGTAAGAAACAAAAATCTAGTTTGAAGCAGTTGAAGTTTTTACATGAAACATTAATTGAACAATTTCATGAGGTTTCACATTTTGAAGATCAGAACCCCTCACCAATAAGAAATAAAAATCTAGTTTGAAGCAATCGAAGTTTTTATATGAAAAATTAAAACAAAGAAGGAAGATTTAGGAGGGGTTTCGCACGAAATGAAAATTTTGGACAAAGTTTTTTAGAGGGAATATTAAATGGTGCGGTTCCACATGATTAAATAATGGTGCATTTTTGAACTAATGCACCAATAGATGTGTTTTAATGTCTTTTACTCTAAATTGCTATTGGACTGCATATGAACTTGTTGATTGCTGTGGGGTGAATATTGGGCATGTGGTGGTCTGTTACCGAGGAGCCCAGCCGAGTTATGAGAAGGTGGCCTGCTCCAATTTGAGTTGACTTGATGTTGATGAATGAAGAAAGGCGTTAGAGCCTGATGAGCAACGAAGGGAGGAATTGGCGAGGATTGAGGTTGCGACAGAAGATGCGACGGTGGCGGGATGTAGACCCAGCCGTAGCACTGGTGACCAACGTTCTGTCCGGCGCCGACAGACGGCTGAATGGAGGTGACAGTTGGAGGTCGGCAGCAACGATTGTTCCCTCCTCCTCGATTGGAATTGCGTTGGTAGGTATTCCATCCTTCCCGATTTGAATTGTTGGTGGAAGTATGGAGAGTCTGAGGAGAAGAAGAGTGATTATCATGAGATGGAGAAGGAACCCGATTAGTAAGAAGCCTCTGTTCTTCAACTAGCAGCATATACCTAACTTCATTAAAAGTTGGAAGAGGTTTGCTATGTCGAATAATCCCAATAGTGGTTTCAAACTTGCTGGATAATCCGTTGATGGCATGGATAACAATGTTCTTTACTTTAACCTTCTCACCTATTCCTTCCAACAAGTCCATAAGTTTCTTAATTTTGGTGAAGTAGTCATGAACCGAAAGTTCCCCCATAGTGATCGATCGTAGCTCACTTTCAAGTTGCATAGCAGTGGCATCTTTGTTTTCGCGAAATAGGGCTTCAATATTACATCAAATCTTCCTTGTTGTGTCGTTGATGGAGTAGACAGAAGTGATGAGAGATTGGGAGATGGAGCCAAACAACCATAGTTTCACAAGTTGATCAAGTTCTTGCCATTCTGAATCAGTGGGTTGTGTTGCAGGTGGATCGAAGGTCTTGTCAATGTGATCACGAACGCCAAAGGCGATGCAGTGGGCTGAGAAAAGATCACTCCACGGGTCATAGTTGTAAGTGTTGAGATCAAGAACTAATAAAACATATGTTTTAATGTTGTTGACAGCATAAGCCTTTGCAGGAGGAGTAGGCGGTTGTGGAAGAGCATCTCCAGCCATTAGGGTTTGGCAGGGAAGAAGGCGGGAGCAAATATGGTAAGGATTAGAGTATGGAAGAAAGGGGAAAGATTTTAGGAGGTTTTTGAGAGAGTCTTTGATACCATGTATAATGATATCATTCTCATTGATTTGGTAAACGAATACAATAACCTACATATAGAAGATACATAGGGCCACTTGGGCCTATAGATATACAAATACATGGGCTTATACAAAATGTGTACACTAACAAATACTTTAAATGGTGTGGTTTTAGGCTACCACTAAACCCAAAAAAATAGGTTTTGTACTAGTGTCATTGTCTCTTTTTGGATGATCAATAAACTAACTTTAAGATATAAGGGGGATAGAATCCAAATATGTAATCATCTTTCCATTTCAAATTTGTACAAGAGCCGAAACTAGTGTTCCAAATTGGGAAAATCTGAAATCTGTTAAACTATTCTTTTTCCTAACATTTTTTCCTTGCCTCCTTAATGTGTAAGCTATGAGATTCGAATATGAGACAATTATTTTCCAAAATTTTAATTCTCAAATACTCACCACTAGTAATAATAGTATTTTTTTCCCCAACATTTAACCAAGTTTTTTAGTATATTAAAATTTACAAGTACCCAATTCGAGATTTCTTTTGGACATCTTTGATTTCGTATGAGTTGGTCATATAGACCCATCATTATCATTTATTATTAATCAAAATAATCGTATTTATTATACAAATAATTTCATCCACTAATTACTACCTTTGACCAACATTCATTTTGACTCTATTACTGAATTCTATCTAAGTCATTACTTTACCTCATCCAATAACCGCCAACAATTATATTCGTAACCATAACATTATTTCTAATTTAATGTCAAATCAAAATGGGTCCCAGAGAGAAAAAAAATAGTTTACATGAACTTGACTGCAAACTGGCCAATCGATGTCAATTATATTCAATGTGAAAATGACGATATATATCAACCGAGAAAGACTTGACACGATTTTGGAATGTCTTAGGTTTGAAGGACGTTCAAAAAATTTCAATAAATTTGAAAGTCATAATGATCATAGTGACGAATGACAATTCAAAAACTTGCAACCACTAGAAAGTATAGGTTTGACCGTTTGAGTAATGAAATGAATGACATTTAATTTGTGTGACGAAAATGTGTTGAGTTTTTTCTTCAACCACCAAAAAGCCTATGATGCTCAACCATAAAGTCAAAAGCAAGTCTGAAGGAATTTTATATTTTACTACCCACTAACTTAAAACGTTTGACGTAACATATTTGTTATGTCAAGTATTTGAGATGTTGGCATTGAAATAACAATATACTCATATAACATGTATTAATGTAAAAAATATAAGTAGTATGATCTGAACGGCTTCATCAAACAAAAAACGAAAAGGAAAAAACAACAACAAACAAATCAATGTATCGATTAAAAATATTAATAATTGTTTATGTAAGAATGTTTTTGTTTTTCATAATTTTTACACTAGTGTGATTTTAGCCAAAAACATCAATCAAAATATGCATTTATGCCACCGTAAAAACTAGGTATGGAACAAAGTTTTACCATTTTACCAAGGGTAAATTACACGAATCATTCCTACTGTTTGGGGTAGCGTTACTATTGGAAAAAAAAATGGGCTTGATTAAAAGAACTATAAAACCACAGGGACCAAACTTGTAATTTACTCAAAAAGATTTTTTTTCCCTTTTATTTGTGTGGAGTAATTTATGACTTGTGTCCTTCCCACACGTCAACTTTTAGTAAACTACCCAAAGTCAAACACTTTTCCCTTCACGTATATAAACCCCTTCACTTCTTTATTGTTTCTTCATTCTCTTCGTATTACTACTTACGATATACACAAAAAGATAATACATAATACAGATGTCTTTTATAACACTTGCTACCATTCTTGTTTTTGTCTTCCCTTATGTCGTTTTTGCAACCACAAGTAGCACCGATGTTGATGCTCCTAAGGCATTCTTTGTATTTGGTGACTCGTTGGTAGATAATGGAAACAACAATTTCTTGATCACATCTGCACGGGCTGATTCACCTCCTTATGGGATTGATTATCCCTCTCATCGTCCAACTGGCCGTTTCTCTAATGGCAAAAACATCCCTGATATTATAGGTTGATCACCTCTAACTAGTTCCTCGTTTTTTGTTTCTGATTTTATCTCAAAAGCTTTTTGTAGATGTGTAGTATTTTTTGAATTAACATTTGCTTCTAAATTGTTTTAGTTTTTAATCTATGTTTATATTATATTCTGAATATTTTTATGAACGAGCAAACCAACATATAAAGAAACTTAGACTTAGTCTTTGTTTATATGTTACCAATGTTACTTCCTGTTTGCTATTAAAAGCTTGTGAATTTTTACGAGTCATTTTTAACACTATTTATATATAAAAAAAATTAAATTGCGACCTTTTAATACTTTAGATGAAAGAAGTATGGTGATTTATTTATTATATTATTCTATTTATTTTTTTCCATTTTACCATTGTAATTTTCAAGAAATATAAATTATTGCAATACAATCAAAATACAAATAATTTTCCACTGTTGTAATTGGATAAATTCTTGAAAATATAATATTAAAATAAGAAAATGATTAAAAAAATACAATACTATTATTGTTAGTTTTTTTTGAAAAAATATTACAACTAACGAAAAATATACTAAAGTACTTCTAAATTATTTCACTTATATCGATATTGGGACTTGAACTCTTGACTTCAAGGAGGAAGGGCAATATCGGATTTTACTGGGCTAGAAGCCCTTTGGTAAATATTACAACTTAATAAAAATGATTGAAAACTACATTATTCTAATAGAACATATAATCATACACAAATAAATGTAATGGAATACATCATTTTTTTTTTCATAAACAATAATTTGTACATTAAAATATTATAATGAACAATTCTATAAAATATAAATTTTTGTATAATCACTTTTCAAATGTAATACCACCTGTGGTCCCTCAATTTTGTCTTTCAGACTTTCAATTTATAGTTTTCCCGATTTCATCAATTAAGTTCCAGTTTTAATTATAATATCGTGTGATTTTCTCAGGAGAACATATCGGGGTGGATCCGCTATTACCGTACTTGGATCCAAATCTCACCGGCAAAAAGTTGCTTAACGGTGCCAACTTTGCTTCTGCAGGGATTGGACTTCTTAATGATACAGGAATCCAATTTGTAAGTTGACTTTTTGCTTCACTTGATTTTCTAATATTGTTATTTTCAAAGTCAAGGATGGAAAGCATCTAAATATAAAGGCTCAGGACAAAATCTATAGATCACTTTGAAATATAGGGGCACCTGAAACCCTTTTCTCCTTTGATGTTCTTTTAAAAACTATCTTTAAAATAGCTAGCTATAATAAGTTGGTTAATTGTAATTCAATCATATTCATATAACTTGTAGTAGGCCTAAGTCCTAACAATGTCGCATTATTGGTTTAATAGTAAAGTAACTTTAAGATTCTTGATAGGTGAACATAATTCGGATGCCTTACCAATTGGCTTTGTTTGAAAGATACCAAGAACGAGTAGCTGCTTTAATCGGTACAGAGAAAACCAAAAAGCTTGTTAATGAGGCTATCGTTTTGATCACATGTGGTGGCAACGATTTTGTGAACAACTACTATCTGGTGCCAAATTCATTCCGATCGCTTCAATATAAACTCCCAGATTATGTCCGATTACTTGTCACAGAATACCAAAAGATTTTAATGGTAATATATAATACTCTCCGCCAATCCATGTCATTTTATAAATCAGTGTACGAAAAAGTGAGATTAATTAATATTAATTTGGATTAAAATATGTTCTCAGAGGCTTTACGAATTGGGAGCTCGAAAGGTACTAGTGACAGCGACTGGACCATTGGGTTGTGCACCATCCATAATTGCGGTGCGAAGCCAGAAAGGAGAATGTGCAAAGGAGCTGCAACAGGCTGCGAACCTGTTTAACCCGCAGGTCACGGCAATGATCAGTTTGCTGAATAAGAAATTGGGCAAGGATATCTTTATCTCTGTTGAAGCACATCATATATACCTCGATTTCATCAACAAACCAAAAACTTTTGGTAATTTCATTTTCCTCATACATGGATTCTTTTGCATATTTATTAAAACTCCTTCCTATCTCAAAATAGGAGTAGTTGCCAAAACATTTATATTACATCGTTCCAAAAAGTTATATTTTAATGTTATCGAACACTTTAGTTTAGTAATCTCAAGGGGAGTCCGGGGACAATGCCCATGGTGGGGTTTTAAGAGGTATCACCCCTGGTAACACTCCAACTCCAAATGACTTCCAAATTTAACGGGTATATCAATTTGTAAATTTTCCAGCCAAAACCAACTGATGCATCACTTTTCCCACTAAAACCAACGGTAGCAAACCTATATTTATAGGTTTTCGGTTTCTCACTCAAAGATGATATTTTTCCCTAAAATTTTTCTGTGAATTCTGTCTCAAAAACATAGAACCATCCTGTATTTTCTAGTTTGCTTGAATTGGAGAATGGAGATTGTGATTTTTTGGATCAGTCATAAATCTTGTTTTGTGCAAATTGCAAGATTTTTTGAACTATCCTAAATCTTGTTTTTTGGATTGGAGAGAGTGATTCTTGAATTGGAGAGTGATTTTTTGAACTATCCTAAATCTTGTTTTTTGGATTGGAGAGAGTGATTCTTGAATTGGAGAGTGATTTTTTGAACTATCCTAATTTTTTTTTTTTTTTTTTTGTTGAGAGTGCGATATATTAATAGGGTGGAAGTTACAAATTAAGAAAAGTTTAAATACACGATCCTAAATATCCAACATATTTTGGTCATAGGATAAAACATATACATATATTTTATCTTAAATGCAAATTGTTGCAGAAAAAGAAAAAAAAATAATAAAACATTATTATATAAGCATATATTTAACCAGACAAGAGGCCTATGGACCGCTTACATTTAATGTATTAACTGGATACCACCAACCACGAGGTTAAATGTGATTCAATTATTGTACAAAATACTAGTGACTATGAAACTATGTAAGCGAACATCCAAAATATATAACAACATAAAGATTTGTATTGATGTGCAGGATTTGAGGTGGTCAACAAAGCATGTTGTGGACAAGGACCGTATAATGGGCTGGGTTTGTGCACCGCGTTTTCCAACTTGTGTCCCAACAGGAACGCATATGTGTACTGGGACGGTTACCACCCATCCGAAAGGGCAAGCCGTCTCATTGTGCAAGAAATATTCAACGGTTCCAAATACGTGAACCCCATGAACCTAAGCACCTTTATGGCAATGGACTCGATGAAAGTATAATGGTGATATTCTAGCTAAAATATGTTACTTTTACTCGTACAAAAAAAAATACGGGTGTATTTATGTTTTCTTATCAAAACAAATAAATATTAAAATATATCATATGTGGCAAAATATTTCTATATGGCATTGATTATATTTAATGATGTCATCATTAGTTTTAACATATATCTTATCTTTTTTTTTTTTCCGAACGTAACATATATCTTATCTAACTAGGTTAATATCCCGTGGAATCCACGATGATAAAATAAAACAATATTTTAATAACCGTTAATCCTTTGTGGGTGAAGAATGTGTGTTTAGATCTAAACGTGTTGACATCCCTGTTTGTGGTTGCTAGCTACAACCATCGTTTGACGAGACAAAACGGACGAAAACTTCTTGTTTTTCTCTTGCTTTTTATCACGATGTCGATGAAACATCGTTAGGACAACAAGCAGCAAACTTATTTTCACTGTGCTTCACTAAGGCGGGTTCTAGTCATATAGCTCGGTTATTGTTTCACAAAATGCCGCATACAAAAATACTAATACAAAATAAGATAAGGTTGTATGTAGTATAAAGATTCACATGTAGAATATTAAACGGTTGTTAGTGTTTATTTATATAAAATAAACTTTTGATATTCCACTTCACGAACATATGTTGATGTTTACTTATTCATTAAAAGTAAATTAACATGAATACTTGTAGCGGATTACAAGTATGAGTATCTCATAAATCATATCGGTAACATTTTTGGTTATGTTCTTGCACAAACTTTTCCGTACAAGTATTTTACGTTTTATAAAAATTTCTTTTTATAAAACTCACAGAATAAAAACCTATAGAACTCACCAACAATTTTTGTTGACGTACTTTTAAAAATATGTATTCTCATGTAACTAAGAAGTCGGTGGTAGGACATCAGTTCTAAGGAAATTATATTTCCTCTCTTTTGTGATAAACTTGACATGTTTTATATAATCATTGTGTGTTTGAATTATGATGATGTAATTTGTGACATCCACATTTTCACGGTCAGAAAAGACCGAGTTTGTTTATGCTTTATAAAAATCAGAATACCTCTTTTAATAAAAATGTTGCGAAATTTATTCCCAGTAAAACATGATAAATACGTTATCAAGACATTTCCGAAGAAAAGTATTTTTATTCATTTTAAAACATTTGGGATGTCATCATCAATACAGAAACATAAGCATAAACAGAACTTACATTCATTATCACTAGTGATTTATATCTCCTTAATCTTTCAGTGTAATGTGACTTCATATCAACACCTGTGATATAAATAAACTGAGTGGGTCAGGTTGGGAAACCTGGTGAGTACATAGGGTTTTCAACCCACAATAATATAATTATTATGTTTAATCATCAAACAATCAATCAACCCAATTACCCATCCCCATTATCTTATTTACTATTAAGGATCTACCCTAAGAATCAGCTATTTCTCGTTCATTCATTCCTAAGGATTATCCTAAGGAATAGGCACGAAATCCATCGTTGCTAATGACACATCTGTCAAGCACAACTGCTAATATTATCACTTAGGCACATCTGCCAGAATTGTGACATTCTTTATGGGGCGCATCTGCCGGTATAGTCCTTTAGGTGCATCTGCCAGGGTTATCTCGTTTATTGACAGTATCATTTTCGAGAGTCCACTCGCAATACAGGTCAATGGGTTTTTAAAGTACACCGGTGAACACATCGTTAACAACACCTACAGGTTGCGAGCCTGCTAGTGTTCCACTGGACTATCTAGAATAGTCTGTGGTTGTCATCCATACTCTGCTAGATGACGGGGCCAACATTTGGAAAAAGGCTTCTCACATCGTCTACCTCTCACCCTTACCTCATGGTCTATATTACCTCTCAACTTATCGTCAAACTCATATTTCATCTACCCATGTTTTACCCAACATATTATGTAGATATAAATACATATACAGTTTAAATCATATAAATGTATAAAATCGTTCATCCAGCATAGATAGCAAATATACAGGTAATATGCACACATAACAACACGTAGTTTATATAAAATATTTCATATCTATGTGTAAGATAAAAGTAACTATGCACTCACTTGATAATGTGGTGACTCGGTACTTGGACAGCGCTTCGTTTACTTTAAAATAATTTCCTTCGACGAAACCTAGTATTATTACCACTAGATTTTAGTCTAATATTTACCGTGACTAATTATTAGTCTTATTATTATTATTTATTATTATTATTATTATTATTATTATTATTATTATATAAGCGTTTAAACAATACTTTCCAACCACTATGTACAAACAGGGGCCAGACATAAAACACCGGAGGGCAGGACCATTTTGGCATATAGCACTTCTGAAATCCAACAACCCTATGCGGCCCTTTAAACCAGATTCCCCGTACCGCGAGTAGTTAAAAAGATATTATAACGACACTTATATAAGTCATAATAATAGCTCAAATATTTATTATAAGTTCATAATAACAATACTAATTTTAAATATAAGTTATATTAAAATAGGTAAGCATAACTTACTTACAAGGGGGTTTTAGCTAGGAGTCGGGCTTTACAGGGGCAGAACTTCGTCGCTGAATCTTTCTAAGAAAGATTCGTGCAGCGCTTCAGCGCTCACCTTACTATACTAAAACTACAGAAAGAGAAGTCGAATCACGAGGGACCGAAATGCTCGGGGGATAAGAAGAGAAAGACTCTTGAATCAAGAGAATGGTGCAAGAAATATGAGAGCCCAAGCCTCTTATTTATAGTAATTGAATTTACAAAAACTACCATCCATAATTACTTAATGACCTTATAGTTATATAAACGACTAAACACCCATTCATAATATTATTTTAAATAGATTTAACGATATTTGTACTAAACTAATGTCGAAAGTACTCAATACTAGTCTTATAATAACCGCATCGTCGATACATTTCTGATGATATATATATATATATATATATATATATATATATATATATATATATATATATATATATATATATATGTGTGTGTGTGTGTGTGTGTGTACGTATATATGATTTATACTTTATTTTAATACGTAAATATGCTATTATAATTTGTAACTCGTTCATACGAACTCCATTTTTGACGTTCTTTATATCCACGCATTGGTATTTACGAGTACTACAACTTTCATTTAGACGTCGTCAGCTAATTCTCATTCTATCTCAGATTTACAAAACTGTATCAAATTTATCGCGCTCGAAGAGTAGGGACCAAGTTTCGTCCATATCTTTAACATACGAGCTATACTCTCGACATTCTTTATATCCACACATAGGTAAAAACAAGATCTAAAACTTTCATTTAGACTCTGTCGGCTAATTCTCGACCGATCTTAGATTTAACAGTAGGAGGAAATTATATTGTTAAATGTCTGCGTAAAATTCATAACTTCTACATACGGACTCCGTTTCCATCTTTCTTTTTACCGTTGAGTTACTATTAATGAGATCTTCAGCTCCCATTTAGGTCGCGTAGGCCAAAAACCGCTTGAACTAAAATTCGAGTTTCGGGCCGTGCACTGCTATGCCAAATCTTATAAAACTCATAACTTCCTCATACGAAGTCAGATTTGAGCGTTCTTTTTTTGTATGTTCTCGGTTTAACGCATACTAAAAATTTCATTTAGATCACTAAGGCTAAAAAGTCTTCTACCGTAAATTCACTATTTACGTCTCCTGGTGCCGTGCCGGTTTTGCCGTAAAACTGCGACGGGCCATAACTTCTTCGTTATAACTCGGATTTCGGCATTCTTTATATGTACGGAACCCTTGTAATATATACTACAACTTGGTTAATATTAATCCTTCTAAATAATCTTTATCAAAAACTGATTTTTGATGCTCATCGTCTCTAAATTGACTAGCCCGGATCTGCGGACGTTACAATTATCTCCCCCTTAGGATGATTACGTCCCGGAATCAATAACAAAACAGGGCTGTATAATGAATCCGTACGTTATCTCTTTATCCTAGGTAATAATCGTAACTTCCATGTTCCTTCGAATGAGTATCTAAATCTTGGACTTCTCGACTGCAGGCGGTGCTCGATCTTGCATTTGCTCCCTATCTCACGTTAGACTCCAAATTATGACCTTCAAGTCCCAATCTCGATCCTCACTGGATACGAACTTAAGATAAGTTTTTTTTACTACAATGGAACGATGTGTCATATTCTAATGACCTATCATCGTATGTTGCAGCGCTTAGACTCAGGTCTCTTAGAGTCTTCCAGAACAGACTATACTTTCGTTCATGTTCTAATCTCATCTTAAAAGGTAGCATTTCTAGCTACAAGCAACTTTTCGCGATACCTCTATTGATCGCTTTTTATTTCAATCTTCCGTCTTAAGTCAGATGCTACATCGAACTTGATTCTCTGAACCACATAACATACTCAGCGTAGTCGGACTCAATTTGATATGACCACTAGGGTCGAAATAACAACCATCTTCTTAGTCATTACCGAACCGATGGTAACGACATACTTGAATAAAACGAAATCAATTACTAGCTCCTTGGTAACCTTGTGACTTTCCCCGATCCAAGCGTGAGTCATGTGCTTCCGGTAGTATAGGCCTCTACTACCATTCATACCTACTCATACTCGTCCCAAGTATTGTCTCGCAGTTCTCCAAGTCATTATCACAAAATCAATTTTAACACATACAAATGTGTCCAAACAATCATAGAATTTTCCCTAGACTCTACTAGGACCTCTTCCACGCGTATCTTCAATCATTAATTCTGCTTCAACTCGGTTGGTGGTGGAAATGTCATACGATGGGATAACTTCATGGATTATACCAAAAATCTTTCTTTCTGCTAATCGAAAGTGTACTTCTCCCGTACTAGACATATTATTTATTAGATGCATTCTAAAGGCAAAAATATCACTCTTACGATATCTTCCGATAGGTATCATTCACTATCGTAAGCCTTCTCATTTTCTCCATTTGCTCAGTCTGCTATGAGTCCTTATCATGACATTCTATACACCAAGGCAGGCGTTCGGTGTATCGAGACGAGAATAAAGATAGAGGAAGTTTTAGACGCGTATTCCTCCTTATTACTTTGAAAAATTACATGTC